TTTGTTCCAGCGGGGAAACCAGTACACCGAATGTCAATGGTCTTCTCCAAAGGCGGAGCCATGGAGAAAAAAAGAAAAAAAAAGAAAAAAAGGGAGCAAAAGGGCAAAGCCCAAAAAGCCCCAAACGGCTGACCCACCAAGTTCGGACCCAACTAAAAAAACAAACAATTGGATGGGTGACGAACAGCGAAAAAAGAAAAAGACAACTGCAAAGCTTTCCCTCCCGGCAGGTACTCACAAGTGCAGAAAAGGCAAAAACGACAAGATACTTACAATTGTCCTGACCAAAATGACCACCTGCCAGAAGAGCAAAACCACCAACAAGAAAAATCCCGCGTCATGTGGCGTATGATCAAGATAGAAATCAATCGTAGTAGAATGCCTTTCAACTTATCTTTGAGTCTCTTCCTTCCCTCCCCGAAAGAAAAGATACGCTTCAGACTTCCTGTTTTTCCCCGAGAGGATGAATGATAGACAACTTGTGGAAATTTAGTATCACAAATTTCATGTGTGATCATGCATGCCAAGAAAAACAGCGTCACGCCATTAGGTGTTCGTTGTTACTGAGACTAAAACATTTACGAAAATATTCTTATTCAAGGTCCTTTACTCGGATTAGGCATGAACAACTTTTTTCTAAAATGAAAGGAATGAAACATCGGCTTCAGTCCACTGATCTAATCAGTATTACCAAGTTTGGTGGTTGTGTTTACAAGGCTTTTCTAGGAGACGTATTTTCTTTGAACGAAACCTTGGAGGAGAAGGAAACTCCGCTTAAGTGAAGCGAAAAATGGGTAACAAACAATGCACAATACGAAGAGTTTATGAAGCTGCTCGTGACGGTTCTTCTGATCTGACTGATCTTTTAAAGCGGCTGAATGGGTGACCCTAAAAGCCAGAACGACGGAATGCTGGAATGCTAGAAAGACGGAATGACGGAATGACGGAACGACGGAATATGACCCCAAATCCTAAAACCCAGAACGACGGAATAGGACCCCAAATCTTAAAACCAGAAACGACGGAATATGACCCCAAATCCTAAAA